AACAGCTAACCAAACTTGGAGTACATATTGTATATTACTTGGTGGGACATCTATAAAAACATTTGTCTTTTCGTTTCCTTCAGAAACGATTTTCCATCTGTTGACAACACTTCACTTAGGCCACAGTTAAAACATGGGGACCACTTAAAAACAACAAGCACAGGACTTAAATAACACAATCAAAAATGGAGAATAAAATACTTGGGTAAAAACTGATTGGGAGAAAAAGAGGTAAAATAAAATCATATTAATTAGGAACTGTCGTTGAATTGCCACTTTTGAATCCTTTATATCCATCCATGTCAGGGGAGTCAACTTCCTCGTAGATGATGGGTCTCTCCATGGTCAGATGGTAGAGACCTTCTGGACGATAAACCTGTAGAAAAGAAGCTTTTCCGATCAGAATTTATCATCAAAGTCAATGCATTCTATAAATTAATATGCTCTCTCCCAGTGTGCGAAATACCGTCAATAATCGGGGGGGGGGGGTCCCCATCTCTCGTTTATTGCGCAAGTATTACACGGTGAAGATTTCTAATATGCAGTAGGCCTATAGAAGTATTTAATGATGCAGGCCTAGACAATCAGTAGTCGTATAGCAGCGTTTCTCAACGGGTGCGCCGTCGGTTCTTCAGGGGTGCGTTCAAAAATTTTGATATTGTGACGTTCACATGAATGAATGAATACGCGACGTTAAAGAGCCTCTGTTTTCCATTCTATGCGAGGGAAATGCTTTTCCAGCCAAAATAGAAGATATTTGTGAATACATGTTTTGAATTGAATTATGAATACTGGACATAGTAAGCTTAAAAACATTTTAGTGGACCATTGTAAGTCGCACAAATAAATTATTATACATTTGAGACCCCCCTCAAATGTTGCCAGGTTGGGAGGTTTCAGGGGGGCTTCAGGTGTTAATCGTATTCGCACACCGTTCTCCCCTGGGAGGAAGAATCGGGGCAGAGGAGATGTACCGTGAGTAGGAGTGTCAAAGATGAGTGGTAGAGGCCGGCGTTCGGACTTTCAGCTGTCCCTGAATGAAGGTTGTCTCTTTATGGGAATTGCAGCCGAGTCAGAGGAATCAGGACCTGAGAGAAGAACAGAAACATCGCATGAAGTGAAATCTGAATTTCCAGATAAAAAACATTCCGCCAACAAATCTCGCCTCACCAGCCATTTATCTATAGATACTCTAAGTCTCGTTTTAATATATGCTGTAAAAACATGTTTACGTTTGACATTGGTAAGCTATCTTACACAATTGTCGTGACAGCGCCGCCAGATAACCAATCAGAGCCCAGACTGGGCTCTGGTTTCAGACAAGAGGTGAAAAGAGGTTGCTGCAGCACAGGCGAGTAGAAATAAGAGCTTTCTGACACATTAAAGCATGGAGGACATGTCCCAGTAGAGACACTTAAATACAAAATATAGAACCTGAAAGTGTGCAATAAAATGTGGTTTTTATATTATATAGCCAATAAAATGCAATATATCATTTTTGTCAGTCAAAACTGGAAATTATAATTTTTTTGATAGATAAAACAAAAATCCTATTACAAATCAGTAAAGTGGGAATGACCATAATTTGACCGTTTCAAATAGTCCTGTCAACAATTCAAAAGTCACATTAAAAATAAAGAAATCAACAAATATTTGAGAAACAGGAAGAAATCAATAATATTTGGCATTTTGCACAAAAAAAACTATTTTCTATCAATTGACTAAGTGATAAATGTGGTCTTATTGTCTGAGGTCATTAGCATGGAGGCCTGTCACACTATAGGCACAAAATACCAAATACTGAGCCTGAAAATTGCAGAATTATAATGAAGTGTTCTCTAAATGTAATATATTGTTTAATTCCAACTCATTTGAAATAATATTTATATAGATTATATCAAAGGTAAATATTAATTAAGTAAATATTGACCATGAGTAGAAGAAGATTATGAAACCAAAGGTTGTTTCATTTACAAACCCTGACATTTAAAGCGCAGGATGTGTGCATGGGACCTTTAACCTGCTGAGCCAACCACTGGACAACCTGCAGGGGGTTTCCTCCCGTCAGTGATTTTTGAAAAACAAGCAAATAAAAACACTGCAGGGGGTCTCTAAGACCACAGGGTCATCCCTTTTGTCTTTAAATAGCTTCTGCTTTTGATGTCTGTTTTGAAGCAACTGCAATTTGAGCTGCAGGAGTACAAGGAGTGATTTCTCACAACAACACATCTACCTTTGACTGTTCCACATGAAATCAGCTGATTCCCTGTAACGAACTGAAGAGATGCTCTTAGGCTCCGAGAAACACCCAGGCTGATGGTTGGCCCGACGGTCACCACGGCAACAGTGATCACACTGTAACAGCTGATTTGATGAAGAGCTCCCGGGAGCCTTCACCAAACCCGGAAATATCGTACAATGCCTGAGAGGGACACGCCATCCTGCAATAAGAACACCATTTCAAATGAGTTTTTCAAGTGGCATCTAACCGAGTCTCTCGTCAGTACACGCTTTAAACCAGAAGCCAAGACCACGTGACTTCTCCGGATTTGAGAATGTTGATTCTGTATCCTGGACAGTGGGGAACATGTCGTCGTTCAGGGGTTCATCAGGGTCACATCTTCCTGTGCCTCTGCAAAACACATTAGTGTGATTAGTGATATATATACTTTTTAATGCAAATAACATTTACACACGTATATGATGTCCAGTGCGGCTTATATAGAACCATCATTCAATTTAGCTGCTGGCAGATATATTCAGGTGCATCCTGATTGTCGACAATTACGGTACTCAATGCGGTAACTCTTAAATATGTGAACAAAACATTTACAAAAGATGTACCTCGGAGGATAACTGGGATCACCATGAAGTAATGCTTAACAAATAACCTTGTGCATTAGATTCCACTCACTTTTCACTTTAATGGCAAACATAATTTGTTTAAGCATAAGTAATGGGATCAAATCTGCAAAAATGCATATCTCTTTAAAGCATCAATATGATCTGTAGTTTATCCCCAAGAACATTTTTAAAAGACAGCAATACCTATCCTGCCCTTAGTGCCTACATCAGGGATGCTTTCTATTTTTCTGTTAATGATTCTATAGCCCTTAAATCATTACCGTTGAATGTTATTTGCATTACAAAGTATATATATAACTAATACACTCATGTGTTTTGCAGAGGCACAGGAGATGTGACCCCTGGATGACCCTGAAGCCATTGTTCCCACTGTCAGGATACAGAAATCAACATTTCTCAAATCCGGGATGAAGATCACTGTGGTCTTGGCTTCTGGCTTTAAAGCGTTTGTTAAACTGACCGAGAGACTCGGTTTAGATGCCACTGAAACTCATTTGAAATGGTGTCTTATTGCAGGATGGCTGTCCCGTCTCAGCATGACGACTATTTCTGGGTTTGGTGAAGAGGATCCCGGGAGCTCTTCATCAAATCCAGCTGTTAGCAGTGGATCCTGTTTGTCCGTGGGGTGGTTGACCGTGGGCCAACCATCAAGCTGGGTGTTTTTCCTCGGAGCCTAAGAGCATTCTCCTTCAGGTGTCGTTTACAGGGCATCAGCTGATGTTCATGTGAAACAGTCAAAGGTAATGTGTTGTTGTGAGAATCACTCCTTGTACTCCTACAGTCAGAATTGCAGTTGCTTCAAACAGTAGTCCAAGCAGAAGTTATTTCAGACACAAAGGATTGACCCTGTGTCTTAGGAGACCCCTGCAGTGTTTTTCTATTGCTTGATCTATTCAAAAATCACTGGACGGAGGGAAAACCACCCCTGCAGGGTTGTTCATGGTTGCTCAGCAGCCGTTAAGGTTCCAGCACACAATCCTGCGCTTTTAAATGTCAGGGTTTGTAAATTGAACAACCTTTGGTTTTCATATCTTCTTCTACTCCATGTCAATATTTACTTGAATATATTTACTTTGATATATAATATAAATATTATTCAAATGGTTGGAATTAAACAATTATTAATTTTAAGAACATTTTATATCTGCAAATGTTCATGCTCATATTTGTATTTGGCCTATAGCCTGGACATGCTCTCCATGCTAATGACTCATGTACAATAAGCCACATTTTATCACTTAGTCAATTGATAGAAAACTGTTTTTTATGCAAAAATGCAAAATATTTGATTTGTTCCTGTTTCTCAAATACGTTTGATTTGGTTCCTGTTTTCTCAAATATTTGATTTGTTCCTGTTTCTCAAATATTTTGTTGATTTCTTTATTTATTAATGTGACTTTGAATTGTTGACAGGACTATTTGAAAACGGTCAATTATGAGTCATTTCCCACTTTTACTGATTTTATCGGATTTTGTTTTTTTCTATCGAATTAATTCAGTTTGAGCTGACAAAAAATGATATATGCCATTTTATTGCATTTATTTTTATATATATAAAAACAAATTTTATTGCACACTTTCAGGTTTCATATTTGTATTTAGTGTCTCTACTGGGACATGTCTCCATGCTTTAATGTTCAAAAAGCTCTTTATTTTTCTCATACTGCCTGTGCTGCAGCACCTCTTTTCACCCTCTGTCTGAAACCAGAGCCCAGGCTGCTCTGATTGGTTATCTGGCCGGCGCTGTCACGTACAATGTGTAAGATAGCTAGCCAATGTCAAACGTAAACATTGTTTTTACAGCATATTATTAAAACGAGACTAGAGTATTATAGATAAATAGGCTGGTGAGGCGAGAGTTGTTGGCGGAATGTTTTTATCTGAATTCAGAGTTTCACTTCATGCCGATGTTTCTGTTCTTCTCTCAGGTCCTGATTCCTCTGACTCGCTGCAATTCCCATAAAGAGACAATTCAGGGACAGCTGAAAGTCCGAAACGCCGGCCTCTACACACTCATCTTTGACAACTCCTACTCACGGTACATCTCCTCTGCCCCGATTCTTCCTCCCAGGGGGAGAAGCAGTGTGCGAAATACGATTAACACCTGAGCCCCCCTGAAAGCCTCAACTGCAACATTTGAGGGGGGTCTCAAATTATAATATTTATTTGTCACTTACAATGGTCACTAAAATGTTTTTAAGCTTACTATGTCCAGTATTCATAATTCAAATTCAAAACATGTATTCACAAATATCTTCTATTTTGGCTGGAAAAAGCATTTCCTCGCATAGAATGGAAAACAGACGGCTCTTTAACGGTCGCGTATTCATTCATTCATATGAACGTCACAATATCAAATTATTTGACGGCACCCCTGAAGAAGCCAGACGGCGCCCCGTTTGAGAAACGCTGCTATAGACTACTGATTGTCTAGGCTTGCATCCATTAAATATTCTATAGGCCTACTGCATATTGAGAAATCTTCCACCGGTATATTGCGCAATAAACGGGAGATGGGGACCCCCCGATTATTGAGGGTATTTTCGCACACTGGGGAAAGCATATTAATATATAGAAGCATCCCCCGATTATTGACGGGTATTTCGCACACTGGGGAGAAGCATATTAATTATAGAAATGCATTGACTTTGATGATAAATTCTGATCGGAAAGCTTCTTTCTACAGGTTTATCTCCAAGAAGGTCTTCTACCATCTGACCATGGAGAGACCCATCATCTACGATGGAAGTGACTCCCCTGAACATGGATGATATAAAGGATCTCAAAGATGGCAAATTCAACGACAGTTCCTAATTAATATGATTTTATTTTACCTCTTTTTCTCCAAATCAGTTTTTACCCAAGTATTTTATGTCTCCATTTTTGATTGTGTTATTTAAGTCTGTGGTCTTGTTGTTTTTAGGTGTCCCCATGTTTTAACTGTGGCCTAAGTGAAGTGTTGTCAACAAGATGGAAACGTTTCTGAAGGAAACAGAAAGACAAATGTTTTTATAGATGTCCACCAAGTAATATACAATATGTACTCCAAGTTTGGTTAGCTTTTGGTTTAGTTTGAGACCTTTTTTGTCTTTCTTTTATTTTTGCCAGTCTTACTATTGGTCTCTCTTTTCCCAAACATGCTGTCACGTTAGGGAATGCAGTAGTATCAGCGTATGCAATATGATAAAGAATGTATGGTAAGTATTTATTGGCAAAAGACCCAAGACATATTTTATTTTAATTGACAAAGTACGGTCAGTTGTTGTGCAATCTTTTAAATCAAAGAATTCAAAGCAGAAAGCTGCAGACAAAAGGTTTGCTCCTGGCTTTATTAACGACCCTGTCTGAACACTATGTTTGCACTTTGCTAGCGCAGGAATATACAAAAGTAGAAACTAGAAACTGACCCGGAAAATTACAATATCTGTTTTATAAGAAACCGTATAAACTTTGTGCAGATCTCAGGAGTGGGACGTTGAAGTGTCCTCTATTTGTAGCATGTCCTTATTTGTAATGTTTTTGGGAAAGAGAAAGAAGAAAAACTGCCATCTTTGTTTCTGTGTCAGGAGAATACAAATCAGCTTTCTCCATCCAGTTTATAGGACCTCATTAAGCGGAGTGCCTGCACCTACACAGGCTGACTGGTGTCATTACAATGACATTCACTAAAAGTATATTAAAAACTGTCAGCTAATCAGCTACTGTACTTCTAAAGTGCCTATTATCTCTGATGGCCAGGGATTACTTTGCTTTTGTAGCATCGACATTAAACATGACACTTGGTACGAGTTGATACCGTTCTGTAAAAACGTAATCCCAGTGACATTCAAATCACAAATCACACATCAGCATTTGTTTTAAGTTTGACTTTCATTTGGATTCTATTGTAATCCCTGGCATCTCGTTTAGGAAACCCTTTTCAATGTACTCTCGATGATCAAATGGCTTTTATTATGTTTTAATGTTTCTTTTAAAGCAAAGTAATGAGAAAAGAATGATCCAGCTCAATCTCGGGTAAATCCGTACACTACTTTAAAAGGCAAGGGCTAATCTCTGTGTTGATGAAATCTTTTCTAGCTTCAAGATCTCTTATATTTTTAATGGGTATATATTTGTGCAATTTCTATGCAAAGGCTCATATTTTCATTACAGAGCTGCACTTTGTGATAATCACTTTACAATTTGTCACAAACAATACTGATTATACTGTATACAATACTGTTCAGTTTACAGTATCTTTGTCAGATTTTTGTACTTGCCGATTTTAAAGGATCATTTTTGCAGAAGTGTAATATGCTTGAATCATAACTACAGGCACTCAGTGTGACTCTAATAGACCTGTCAAACATCCAGTAAACATGAATAAAATGTGAGATCGATGACGCCTCTGACATCCACTAATCTGTGTCTCGTTAAGTGTGTGACATTTGGAACGACGGAACGACATCACATTATCCAGAATAATACTCAGTGAATATGATTAGTTTTGTGAGCTTATGCCAGAGCCTGTTCTGCTAATGATCTCAGCAGTCAGCCACATTGATCACTTAGTCGATTGAAAAATGCCAAATATTTGATTTGTTCCCGTTTCTCAAATATTTGTTGATTTTTTTGTTTTGAATGTGACTTTTGAATTGTTGACAGGACTATTTGAACACGGTAAAACATTATGGACATTTTCCACCTTACTGATTTGGATATATATTTGTTTTTATCTATCAAATTATAATTTCCAGTTTGACTGATACAAATGATATTAATGCATTTTATTGCATTTATTATGATATAAATACAATTTAAAGAATTATATTGCACACTTTCAGGTTCATATTTGTATTTAGTGTCTCTACTGTGACATGTCTCCGTTCTTTAATGTAAAAAAGCTCTTTATTTTCCTCATACTGCCTGTGCTGCAGCACCTCTGTCTGAAACCAGAGCCCAGTCTGCTCTGATTGGTTAGCTGGCCGGCTCTGTTGTGATTGGTCAACCGCTTGGAGATGTCCAGCTCCTTAGCCTAATGTGTTGGAGCGCTAGCCGATAGAAGCGCAAGTGTTACATAGTGATGTCATTATGTTAAAGAAGAAAACAAAGGAGTCCAATGGAGGCGTTTTAGGCATGGGGCGTAAGTGTGTGGGAGAGAAACTAAATTAATTGACGTTTGCACAAATTAATAAAATTATCAATCTCTAAAGGAGAAATCTGAATGTGAACTCAAACAAAACACTGTTTCTCCATAAAAGTCTAAGACTCATATGTTTTTCATCTGGCTTATCTCCTGTTTTATATCTCTGTCCGAGTAAAGTGAAATACCAGCCCAACATTTCCAAAACTGTGTGTTTGGCGACACATTCAGGCTCAGGTACGTTGGAAGAGATTTGAATACAGCATCAGCTGTAAAGCTTGCCAAAACACCTTCAAACTCCTCTTGGCCTTCAAAATAAAATACAGAAACGTTTCGCTTCACAATGGTGCAACAAATAGGTCATTAGACTTCCATTATTCATATTGGTGACTGGTACATTGTTTTCCATAGCTATAGGAATATGTAGGTATGTTCACTCTTTATCCATTTCCTACCGATATCTTGAGAATGCGATATCTATTCTGAAAGAATACACAGGAAATGCTACGCCTGTATTGCTGCATGCTTGACTGGTGTTGTATGTACACCTGTGCAGAGAGCAGGGTCTCACATGCAGGAGGAGGGGGCTGCAGACTCATTGATGAGAGCTCCACTCCACTCTGAACAGAGGAACCGACAACATGTCCCGTCTCATCGGAGGGATCCTGCTCACTCTGTGGCTGCCTCAAACTGTGAGTGATCTACTTTAACTTACCTTTTGTTAACAATGAAAGAAGATACATTATTATTATTGCCACATAGAAAACTTTAGGTTCTCTTTTGCAGGGAACTGATGTGTTTCAAAAACGAGATAAATCTTCAAATGTTACCCCATTTCTCTTTCTTTTCCTCTCCCAGATTCTAGATTTGCATTTGAATTACTTTGCTTTTCACTGAGCTTTAATCAAAAATCATCATAACAAACTAACTGTGTGTGCGTGCCCCAGTGCATGAGAGCGTGCACGCCCGGCCTCTGTCTGCAGAATCCTGATCTGCAGCTGATCATGTTCTTATCATTAGCGTGTGTTGCATAATACACTACTCTGCAGGAGGGTATCAGCAGACTGATCTAAAGACAGGAGTACTTGATCCACATAGGCTCACGAATGAATGTGATGTGAATAAGTATAAAGTGTGTATGTGTGTGTCTCTAGTCTTTACTGTTCAATGTGTGGGTGGGTCTGGAGGTGTGTGTGTCTTACGTGAGTGTGTTTGTGTGTGTTGTCTTTTATTTCTAAGAAAAAATGCCAATATCCCATCACACCAGCATGGATTTTCCAATACTGTATTATTTGAAAGTGTGAACATGTGTTAATATTATCTTTCACATTTATTTAAAATCCGTCTGCTGGAGATTTAGATGTGTGTGGCCTGTGGGGTGTGATTATGTTAACTTTTAATATAAATACACTTTATTGACCACACATGCGAACAAGGATTTCAAGTTTATGTTTCACCATATAAAAAATATAAAGAAATTATAAGAAATTCTCTGAACAGGGAGAGCTAGAAACCCCACTGGGCTAATTGTAAGTCTCCACCTTAATAATATTACAACTTGGCAATGCTGTGAAGCACTGGTTCCCAACCTGGTGTTCGGGTCAATGATGGCAGGTGGCAGCCAAGACTCATCTGCTCTGATGGTGTCATAATAAGATTTCAACATGCATTGGAAAATCATAACAAAACTACTACCGGAAACTTTAAAGGTCACCTATTATGCAAAATCCACTTGTTCATGTCTTTTCTACATCAACATGTCTCCCCTCTGTGGAAAGAGACTCTGAAAGTTTCAGGAACAAAGATTCTCTCTCTTTTTGTCCTTTCT